TGGGAGTATCATGTGTCTGATTCACGACCGTTGCCTTCCACCTGGAATAGTCCCCTTCCAGGACACATTCAGTTCAGTTACGACAACAGCCAAAGGAAGCTTTGACACTTCTAAGTATGTTTTCATCTCAAACATACGCCTTCCTGAATTTGGCAATGGCAAACACATCAGAGGTATCAATGCAAGGCTCTTCTCAGCCCCTTGTAACTATGATATGATCCTCAGAAGAGATTTCCTGCTTATGGCTGGGATAGATCTCTATTTCTTGAAACACACCATCAGATGGTTGGATTCAACCATTGATATGAAACCAACAGATCATTTCAATGATCCCAAGCAGGTGACAGAGGCCATGTGGCTGGCAGAGGATGATGAGGTCCTAGATGGAGGATTCCTAGAGTTTCATCTACTCCCTCCAAGCAGCTGCCCACAGCAAAACTGCAGGCGTGCAGCCAGTTCAGCCAGTGCAGCCAGTTACTTAGCAGGCCGGAACGGCACTGCCAGAGCTACTGGAACAGAGCCAAACAGAATCCTGGATGCGCAGTACCAGAAAGTGACTCCCAAGCAGGTTGCCGACCATCAGGAGCACATGAATGATTCAGAAAGACTAGCATTCCAAGAGATGTTAGCCAAACACCAGGAGTTGTTTGATGGAAAACTTGGTTGGTATCCTCATGAAAGGATCCACATCGATCTCCTAGACGATGCAGAACCAGTTTACATAAATCCATACCCAATCCCTTACAGACACGAGGATGTCTTCAAAAGGGAATGCCAGCATCTAGTTGATGAAGGGGTGATTCCCCCCACTGGCAATTCAGAATGGGGCTTTCCAGGCTTTATCATTCCCAAAAAGGACGGCAGAGTCAGATGGCTTGTTGACCTCAGAGAGTTAAACAAAAGGATCAAGCGTCCCAAGTTTAACCTCCCCAAAATTCAAGACATCATGAACCAAAGAACACGGTACAATCACTTTACCAAGATTGATCTTTCTATGATGTTTTACTGCTTTGAATTGGATGAGGTAAGCCAAAAGATTTGCACACTCACCACAACACACGGCAATTACAGATGCTTAAGATTACCAATGGGTCTCAAATCATCTCCAGATTAGGCCCAAGCCTTTATCACAAAAATCCTATTTGGGTTGGATGTTGAAGTTTATATTGACGACATGGGCATCTGGTCTCATGGACCCTTCACTCGGCATCTTTCTCTAGTGAATCCAGTCCTAAAAGGTTTGGCCGAAAATGGCATGAAGTGCAACCAACTGAAGTGTGAATGGGCAGTAAAGAAATCTGATTTCCTGGGCTATTGGCTCACCCCTACCAGTGTTAAACCATGGCAAAAGAAAGTGGATGGAATCCTCGAGATGGGCATCCCACAAAACCAACAGCAGCAGGTTCGGTCTTTCCTGGGAGCAGTAAACTATTACAAGTCCATGTGGCCTCCACATGTACTAGCCCCACTGACAGCCCTCACAGGCTCTGGACCTTATATATGGACCCCTGAGTGTAACCAAGCCTTTCAGGAAATGAAAGCTCTGCTAGCACATGATGCTATTAACACCTTTGCCAATTTGGAAGAACCCTTTCATATTTACACTGACGCATCTGATTACCAGCTCAGTGCAGCAATACTTCAAAATGATAGACCAATTGCCTACTGGTCAAGGAAACTGAACAAAACACAAAGGAATTACACCACAATGGAAAAGGAGCTTTTAGCTGTCGTCCTTTCCCTCAAAGAATACCGGAATATGCTCTACGGTGGCAAGATCAACATCTACACAGATCATAAGAACCTCATCTTTAGGACATTGTCCCAGTCCCAGGTTCTCAGATGAAAGTTGTCTCTTGAAGGCTTTGATATCACCTGGGAATATATTCTGGGCAAGAAGAATGTTCTAGCAGATTGTTTTTCCCAAGTGCCAGAATGGATCCGTGTACTGTGGGGGATAAGGAAAAGAAAATATATGAGCAAAATAAAGGAACATTGGTGGATTTCAAGGAGTTAGCAGCCCAGATGGATCTGGAAGATATCTTCTATTTGGAGCCCAAATTATATGAGTGCTTGCTCAATTTACCACCAGTATCAGAGATGGAGAATCCAATATCAAATGCAAGCCTTTACACTTATCAACTCACGGATCCACAGTGTCAACACCTACTTGAAACTGATCCAAAACGTTATGTTGAGAGAAGGATAGGCACCTTCAAGTTACTCACAGTAACCATGAATGATAATAATTGGAAGATCTACTTGCCTGATGGCTTGGTAGACAGCACCCTCAGATGGTACCACCTCTTATTGGGTCACTGTGGAAGCTAAAGGCTCTATGAAACTATCAGTGCTAGATTTTATCCTCCCCGACTCAGCCAAAGATGCAAGCAATATCAGTGCCTAGATGAGTGCCACAGATTTAAACAACAAGGCCAAGGGCATGACTTGTTACCACCTTGGGAAGCTCAGCTTGTCCCTTGGAATGAAGTATGTGTGGATCTGATAGGTCCCTGGAAAATACTCCTTCCAGATGAGACTGAATTGGTGATCAACGCCATCACTTGCATAGACCCAGTCACTAACTTATTGGAAGTAATCAGAATCAACAACAAATCAAGTGAGCATGTTGCAGAGCAATTTGCTAACTGTTGGTTGTCACGATATCCAAGACCCAACAGATGTGTCCATGATAATGGTATAGAATTCATCGGAACCCCTTTCAAACAGTTACTGAATCAATATGGAATTAAGAGTGTCCAAACCACTATTAAGAATCCACAGGCAAATGCAGTCTGTGAAAGAGTACACCAGACAATTGCCAATGTCCTACGGGCCACGCTTCATATCAAATCACTTGAAGAAGCTGAATTTGACGAAGATCAACTGATTGACAATGCACTTGCCTCTGCAATGCATGCTACCAGATGTGCAGTGAACGCCGCAATAAAAACCTCACCAGGAGCCTTGGTTTACAACAGAGACATGGTGATGGACATTCCATTGATTGCTGATTTAAATCTCATCAGAGACAAACGACAACACCAGATAGATGAGAATCTCAGGAGAGAAAATGCTAGGAGAATTCCCTTGAAATATCAGGTCAGACAGCAGGCCTACATGAAATTTTATGAACCTGACAAGCTGCCCCAAAGATTACATGGCCCTTATCCTATAGTGGAAATCAATACTAATGGAACAGTGGTGTTACAAAGGAGTGACAACTTACGTGAGACTGTCAATATTAGGAAGCTTGTTCCTTACAAAAAAACTAATGCAAATTACACTCCTGAAAACCCAGCAACAGAAGAGGAACCCCCTGTTGAAAATATTGAAGATATGATTGCTACAGTTTAGTAGTAATACTGAAGGCAGTATTCCTGTCGGGGATAATGCAACAGATATGTACGTACTGTATCGGAGGTATACGTACATAGTAAGCAACCACCGGAGAGCGTCACACAAGATTCACTGGTCTTTGACGCCTACTCCAAAAAGAAGCGACACAAACGACCTGCTGTGCCAGAGACTTCTTTGGCTCCTCCTGTCAAGTCTTCCAGTTTACTTCAAACCAAACTCAGTCAATACTTTTAATTCCAGTGAAACAAACCCCCGGTCGCACTTCCATTCACACTCCTCGGAGGGAAGTGCCGCCCCTCAGAGCAGCTGGGAGCATTCTTTCTAACGAAAGCTGTGGTTCTGGCCATATAGTGCCTCTTCTAGTTCACGAGGTTAAAAATAATATTAAGATTTTTTTTTATTAGGAACAGCAAAAAGGGTCATAGGTACATTTAATTGGGAACGGAGGAAGTACTTAGTAAGTACAGTAGTACTTTATTTCTACGTTAAATCTACTCGAAAAGTACGAGTACTCGTATACTAAGTAGGTCCTTAAAACGAGAACTGGAACTTTCAGCATGAAAATAATTTAAACTGTAACTTTTTTTCGAAGGCTATTGTAAAATGAAATATAAACTTACTTATAGGAAATATAAACTTATTTAGAGGCCCTGAGCGAATGAAAATACTGTTTAAAAACAACTTTTCCTCAAATTCACCAAAATAAGCAGTAATTTCATTCCTTCAGCACGCGCTGGCAAAATAACTGGACCATTAAGTAATTTCAGCACAGGCTCCTATTACGGCAGCTCAAATTCACCAAAATAAACAGTATTTTCATTCGCTCCAGTCTTACCGCAGCTTCGTCACTTGACCAAAATAAACAGTAATTTCAGCACAGGCTCCTATTACGGCAGCTCAAATTCACCAAAATAAACAGTATTTTCATTCGCTCCAGTCTTACGGCAGCTTCACTCGACCAAAATAAACAGTAATTTCATTCC